ATTCGCTGAGTATCACCATGCCCGACAGCATATCCGCACAAACCATCCAGGTTCACCTCGGGGCCCATCTCTAGCATCGATTTCTTGAACTGCTCGCACGGCGGTCACAGCGCGGACATGGCGCACTTGGGCACCATGACGGGGGCCGCATCTTTGACGGAGAACCACCAAAGGTCGCCCGCGTTCACATATCGAGCGGTCTGAGCCGACGTGAGCCAGGGTGGCTACAGTCCTTGATGCTGGTGACGATGACGATGATGACGATGCTGCTGCTGCTGCTGATGATGATGATGATGATGATGATGATGATGATGATGATGATGATGATGATGATGATTGTGCCCCCCTGCTTGCGCACCCGTGTGGCTTCGAGAATATATCACGCGGCTACGCCCTTGGAGACCCCACCCGTGTGATGTCGAGAAAGTGCCATGCCTGCTATACTTGGACGACCAGGGCGCATAGCGGCTGCGCTCAGAAACCTCCCAGTGCGCATCGTTGTGGTGCCGAGGAAGTGCCACCCCTGCTATGCCCTGGACGACCGGGGCGCAAAGCGGCCGCGCTGAAACCCCCCCTTTGCGCACCCCGTATGGTGTCGAGCAACTGCCACGCCTGCTGTACCTGGACGACCAAGGCGCATAGCGGCCGCGCTCAGAAACCACCCCGTGCGCATCGTTGTGGTGCCGAAGAAATGCCACGCCTGCTGTGCCCTGGACGACCGGGGCGCAGAGCGGCCGCGCTCAGAGACCAACCCCTGCGCACCCCCGGTAGTGTCGAGAAAATGCCACGCTTGCTATGCCCTGGGCGTCTGGGGCGCGTAGCGACCGCGCTCGGAGACCACTCCCTGCGCACCCCGTATGGTGTCGAGAAAATCTCACGCCTGCTCTGCCGTGGGCGACCGGGGCGCATAGCGGCCGCGCTCAGACCACCCCGCGCACGTGTGTAAAGTTTGCTTGCGTGTGTGTGTGTGTGTGTGTGGTGTATCTAGTGTATGTGTACGGTGTGTGTCAGGCTGTCTTTGGACGTGTCTCATGTGGGTGCCCAATATGTGGTGCATACGTGTTGGGTGGATGATGCAGTGAACACGCCAGGTGTGCACTAGCGCTGTATGGTGTGTGTGTGTGTGCGAATGCGTCTCTGCGAAAGTGTGCATGCGTGCGGCTGTATGTAGACGCGTGTCTCATGTGTGTGCCGTGCATGTGTTGCGCGTGGGTGAGGGGAAGAAGGAAGAGGACGAGGAGGGAGAAGTGAGGAAGGTGTATAAGGGAGACGCAGGTGCGACGCGGCAGGGAAGAAAACCCAAACCCCACGAAACATGTGGGAAAAACAACGGCTCCCGCTTGATTCCCCCTCACAATTTATTTTCACATCTAGCTCTCGCGCAGGAATTCCTCACAATTTATACAGGGATCGCACTCTCGAGTGGGACTTCTTCGCAATTTATTCAGAAGCGGCGCCCTCGACACTCAGGACTCACGCTCTCGCTTTGGTCTTTCTCGCGATATACTTGGGAATTGCGTTATCGCGATACGTCGTCGCGATTCATGCAGAACTTACTCTTCAACAACCCGCCTTCTCGCCCTGGCCGCCTGGGCCCGCGTTCCCGACCCGTCCATCAGGGTCTGTCCGCCCGATTTGCCTGTCTGGTTCTGCCACGTGTTTTCTGCTCCTAGCCCCCCTTCTGCTAATTTCTCTCGTGCTTCCTCCTTCTTCCTCCCCTTTGCAGCCGTCCTGTCTTACCCTGTTTAGGGGCTGCGCTGAATGCACGCGGCAGGTAATGACGATCGACCCCCCAAAGGGGTACGATCGAAGACGAAGGAAGGCGGGTACCGAAGGTTTGGGATATACATGTTGAGTGGCACGCGAGCAGGTAGTAGCGAACCGTCTTAAAATGATTGTTGCTCTTCTTCTTCGACCTATTCTTATTGTTCTTGCTGTTGTCGTCGTTGCCGGCCGAGTCGCGCCGCCAACCGCCCGCGACCAACCCGCGACGCGACCCGCCCGCGACCCATCAACGCCGCGACCTACACGAAATCCACTCGCGCCACGACCCACCATCGAATTGCCTCAACCAGATCTGCGCCTGCGATGAGCCGACCCACCCACACTGTTCCCCACTTCCTGAATGGGGTTCTTGTTTTCCCAGGGCGTGCTGCGCGCACTGACAAAAATCCCTCCTTCTCCTACTTCTCCTCCTTCTCCTCCTTCTCACCCTACTCCTCGCCCCTCCTCCTCCTCCTCGCCCTCCTCCTCCTCCGTCTGCGCGCACTTCCGATTGCATGCCCCTCTGTCCACTTTCGACTGCATGCGCTTCCCACTTCACCAATCATTGTTTATCATATCAGCCAGCGTTGACTCTAAATAGATAGGATGACAGGAGGAGGACGAGAGGAGGATGGGAGGAGGACGAAAGGAGGACGGGAGGAGCAAAATCAAGCAAGCGCAAGCAGTAACAAGCAAGCAAGAGCCAGCGATCCAGTGCAAGCAATCAAGGGCAAGCAAGAGCAAGCAAGCGGTAGCAAGCGCGCAAGAGCAAGCAAACAAGAGTGCGCAAGAGCAAGCAAGTGCAAGCGACTCATAGGAATCCATAGGAATGCGTAGGACTCGTCATTGGAAATAGCTGGGGGTTGCCATTGGAAAAAGGAGGGGTGCCATTGGCAAAAGCGGGGGGAGGGGGGGAGGGGGGTGCCATTTGAAATAAGGGGGGGTGCCACTGGAAAAGGGGGGGGTCCTACCTAAAGACCGATTACGTATGATGAGCTAGGACTCCTACAGGGCAAGCCTACTTGGAGAATGATGAGCTCGGACTCCTATAGAGCAAACCTATTTGGAGAAAATCTCGTGCCCTGCCCGCTTCGCCCGTCCAACCGGAGCCAAGTGACTCTCCAAGGGGCACCGCCAGATCACGGTAGTCATTCGCAATCCGAAATGTTTATCGAGTCTTGTGGCCTTTTAACCTCCCCAATCCCGCGAGTGCCGTCTGACCCTCCAGAGAAGCCCCGCCAGACCGCGGTAAACATTCGCACCCTGGCTTATCTACCAAATTCCGTCCCACCAACGCCGTTTGACCTTCCAAAGATGCCCCGTCAGACCGCGGTAAACACTCGCACCCTGTCGTATGTACCAAGTTCCGTCCCACCAACGCCGTCTGAGCTTCCAAATATGCCCCGCCAGACTGGGTAAACATTCGCACCCTGTCTTATCTGCCAAAATCCGTCCCACCAACGCCGTCTGACCTTCGAAGAATGCCCAGCCAAACAGCGGCAAACCTTCGCAATGCTAGTGCTTTTCCCACTCCGTCCGTCCCGCAAATCCCGTCTGACCTTCAAGGAGGCCCAACCAAGCCGCTGCAAACCTTGGCAACCCGTCTTATTCACCACATTCCATTCGACCAACGCCGTCTGACCTTCCAAAGAGACCTCGCCAGACCGCGGCAAACCTTCACAACCCGTGCTATCTATCAAATCTCGTGGCTTTCCCACTCCGTCCGTCTCGGCACTGCCGTCAGACCTTCAAAGAAACCCCGTCAGACCGCGGCAAGCATTCGCAATTCGTGTTGCTCATCGAATCTCGTGCCTTGCCCATCCCCATCCAACCAATGCCGTTTGATTCTCCAAGAAAACCCCGACAGATCGCCGTAAACATCGCCAACTAATGTTGCGTATCCGGTATACTGCCCTTCCCACACCACCAATCCCACCCGTCTGACCCTCCGGGAAAACCCCGCCAGACCGTGGTAACCATGACCAAACAGTGTTATTTATACAGGTCAACGCCCTATCCACTCCACCAATCCCACCAATGCCCATCTGAACCACCTGGGATGACCCTCCCATGAACGCCGTGTGAGTCTCCAAGGAGGCCCTGCCAGACCGCAGCAAACACGACCGAACCGTGCCCTTTACCAAAGATCGTGACTTCCGACTCCACCAGCACCACCGTGTCGTCTGACCCTCCAGGAAGGCCCTGCCAGACCGCAGCAAACATCACCAAACTGTGCTAGTTGCCAAATATCGTGGCTTCCCACTCCGCCCATCTCACCAGTGACGTCTGACCCCCGAGGGGGCGGGCCGCCAGACTGCGACGAGCATCTCCAAAAAACCGTGCCAGTTACTAGGTTGTGCGCCCTTTACCACCTCACCGATTCCACCAATGCCGTCTTTTCTCAGGGGGAGAATCGCCAGACTGCGGCAAGCACCGCCAAGCCTTTCCTCTGTCTAATCTCGTGCGTGAATACCCACCTGTCCTACCAGCGCAGTCTGACTCTCCACGGAAGCCCTGCCAAACAGGGAAGCCCCGCCAGACCGCAACATTCATCGGGGTCAAATTTCGTACTCTTTCCTACTTCACCAACCTCATCAATCCCGTCTGACCCTCCGGGGAGGGCCTGCCAAACCGCGACAGGAAACTCAGCGTTTCCTACGCTGAAGCTAAAACCCTTGCGCAGGAAACTCTGAACGCATGATTTAACTGACGCGACACCAATAGGGACCTTCTTTCTTCCAAGGCAGATCCAAAGCAGTCCGAGCAATGCACAGCAATGCAATGCAAAGCATTGCTTGGCATCATTGCTTGGCATTGCTTGGCGTTACTTGGCATTGCTTAGCATTTATTCGTATTGCGTTGCATTGCTTTGCATTGGCTTTGCATTGCTTGCAATTGCTTGGCATTTATTGTATTCGTTGTTTGGTATTGCTTGGTATTGCTTTGCATTGCTTGGCATTGCTTTGCATGACATTGCTTGGCGTTGCTGGGCATTGCTTGACCTTGCTCTACATGGCTTGGCGTTGCTTCACATTGGCTTTGCAGTGCTTGACCTTGCTCATCATTTCTTGCATTGCCTGGAATCGTTGTTCGGCATTGCTTGGCATTGCTTTACAGCATTCGGCGTTGATCGACATTGCTCTGCATTGCTTGGCATTGATTGGTATTATTTGCAATTGCATGGGCAACCCTGTGCAACGCCGCTGACGAAGGACTCCGCACCCACGTTTTGTTTTCTTCGAGCACGTGAGATCTCGTTAGGCGAAACCTGGCTGGGCAATTCTCAACAGCAAGATCAGCGTCCGCGGCGGTCTGTTTGCATCGGCACTGAAGAATACCGCTGTGAACTCAGCCCTGGCGCCCCCCCCACTCTTGTCCGCAACCGCCGGGGACTGGGTATTCCACCCAGACCAGCGGCACAGGCTGTACAGCCTCGGCAAGGTACATCACTATGCATGGCGTGGAAGCGATATGCAACGCGCGAAATACGCTGCGAACGCGCGCCTTTTGCTGGAAGCTCCACAGGGCCTTCTGGGTCTTCCGCACAGGTCTCGACTCGCCATGCTTAGAACCAGCGAGGAGAGCCACACTGCCATCCTTCGATTCCATGGACGCCCTCCGAGAACCCTCAGGGACGAAAAGCCTTGCCAGTGCAGTTGGATAGGCCTGTAGCTGGGGCAACGCAGGATTGTTTTTGGATGACTTTCGCGGCCCCGGGTGTAGACCCCTTGACGAGGCGCAGCTGCCAGAATACGCTCCAGGGTTCGAACACCTCCCAGGGACCCTTGTGAGCCTCTCAAGACCTCACAGTCTAGGCCCCTCTGAGCCGATCACGCGGGACAAGCTGGCGAAGCCGCTGGGAGTCTGGCGTCGAGCCCGACCCCTCTCGAACCGGCGTCCGCGCCTCTAGGCCCTCCGGCGCCGCGAAGTTCCGCTCGCTCACAACTCCATGACCTCGTGCCGGCGGCCGACTGCGGCCGCCCTCACGCCCCTCTCGGGATCCTTGGAGGTCCTTGTCGTGGGCGGCGGCGAGGGCTTGCGCACCGACCAACACCGGCAAGCCACCACGCAGGCGACCAGTGCCGCGAACGCGGCGGGCAGCCACGTGCCACCTCTGGGAGCGCCTTGTACGTCTGCGCTCCACCGGGGAGGCAAGTACGCGGGCGGAGTGGCTGCGGAAGTGCGCCACGCAACTGCGGCGGCTGGGGCCACGGGTGCCCGCATGGCCCCAGCCTCCGTGGGCGTCGCCACTAGGCGCGTCGTCGTGGGGCCCGCCCCCAACGGAGGTGCCTCGCCAACGGCCGCCACACCCGTGGCAGGCGGTGCTGGCACTGTCGCTGTGGCTACCGTGGGCATCGCTTCCCCCAGCACCGCCGTGGAATTAGCTGCGGTGTATGCGACACCCGCAGCTGGCGCCGCGGCCGGGGCGGCCGCTGGCGGTGGCCCGGCCACCGCGGGTGGCAGTGTGGCCGCGGGCGACGCTGGCAGCTCCTCCGCAAGCGGCTGCCCAGCGGAGCTGGAAACGGACGTCGAGGCTGGTGGCGCGGCCGCGGGCGTCGCCACTGGGGGCGTCGTCGTGGGGCTTGCTCTCACTGGAGCTGTCGCGTTCACGGCCGCCAAGCTCGGGGCAGGAGCAGCGGCGGGCGCTGTCGCTGTGGCTGTAGCTGCCGTGGGCGTCCCTGCCAACGCTGTGGAATTGGCTGCCGTGTCCACGACCACCGCGGCCGACACTACGGCCGGCGAGGCTGGCGACAGCGGCCCAGCGACACTGGCCACGGACGTCGATGGCGCGGCCGCGGGCGTCGCCGCTGGGGGCGTCGTCGTGGAGCCTGCTCTCCCTGGAGCTGTCGCGTTCACGGCTGCCAAGCTCGGGGCAAGCGCGGCAAGCGATGTCGCTGTCGCTGTGGCTGCCGTAAGCGTCCCTGCCAACACCGTGGAATCCCACCAGCCCTTTGGGTGACAGGTGGTCTAAGGGTGATCTCCTGTTTCTTCTACAACCCTTGTTCCCTTCGGGGAGGGGACCCCCCCCTCCCCTCCCTGTTTTTTTGGGGGGGAGGGGGACCGATGCGTCAGATGGTCCTCTTTCGGCCAGTGGGAGGGCCAATTTTTGACACCCCTCACGAGGATCGTGGCCCCCGATGGGAGGGGGGGGGCAGACATCGAGGACCCCCTCTTTTGACCGACCGCCTTCAAGGTGGCACCAAGAGGCCCTCCAGGGCTCCCAAGCGACCCCCAAGAGAGCTCCATGAGCGCCCCAAGAGGCCCCCAAAGGCCTCCAAGAGGCACCCGAGATGCACCCAAAAGGCCCCCTGAACGGCCCCCCAAGAGGCCCAAGAAGCTCACCCGAGGCCCGCAATACGCCGTCTCGTCCTCGTCCTCCTCCTCGTCCTCCTCGGCCTTGTCCTCTTCCACTCCTCGTCGACCTCCTCGTCCTTGTCCTCCTCCTGTTTCTCCTCCTCCTCCTCCTCCTCCTCCTCCTCCTCGTCCTCTCGTTCTCGTCCATATCCTTCGTCCTCATCCTCGTCACTTTCCTCCTCATCCTCCTCCTCCCCCTCCCTCTCCTCCTCCTCCTCCTCCTCCTCCTCCTCCTCCTCCTCCTCCTCCTCCTCTCCTCCTCCTCCTCCTCCTCCCCCTCCCCCTCCTCCTCCTCCTCCTCATCCTCCTCCTCCTCCTCCTCGTCCTCGTCCTCGTCCTCGTTCTCATCCTCCCCCTCGTCCTCTTCTTCTTCTTCTTCTTCTTCTTCTCTTCCTCCTCCTCCTTCTCCTCCTTCTGTGCTCCTCCTCCCCCTCCCATTCCTCCTCCTCCTCCTCCTCCTCCTCCTACTCCTTCCTCCTCCCCTCCTCCTCCTCCTCCTCCTCCTCCTCTTCCTCCTCCTCCTCCTCCTCCTCCTCCTCCTCCTCACTCTCTCAGTCTTCGTCCTCTTCATCTCGTCCTCCTTCTGCCCGTCTTGCTCCTCTTGCCTCCTCCCTCCTCTTCTTCCTCCTCCTCTTCCTCCTCCTTCTCCTCCTCCTCCTTCCCCTCCTCCTCTTCGCCCCCCCGACTTGGGCCCGGAGATGGCCCAAACACGCCGTCCAGGCCGGCCTCCTTCGCTGTTTGACTATGCGTGTCTCTTCCTCTCTCCCCCCGTCAGCTCTCATGGGCATCGTTTCTGGATGGGCTGGTGGGGATACGCGAAGCGTCGAGAATGAGCTGCCGTGTCCACGTCCCCCGTAGCCGACACTGCGGCTGGCGAGGCTGGCGGCAGCGGCCCAGCGGGCGTCGCCGCTGGGGGCGTCGTCGAGGAGCCTGCTCTCACTGGAGCTGTCGCGTTCACGGCCGCCAAGCTCGGGGCAGGCGAGGCGGGCGCTGTCGCTGTGGCTGCCGTGGGCGTCCCTGCCAGCGTCGTAGAATTAGGTGCCGTATCCACGACCCCCGTGGCCAGTGCCGCGGCAGGCGCTGGCGGCGGTGCGCCCGCGGACGAGGTCGGCAGCGACGCTGACGGCGGCCCAGCGGCGCTGGCCACGGACGTCGATGGCGCGGCCGCGGGCGTCGCCGCTGGGGTCGTTGCCGTGGAGCCTGCTCTCTCCGGACCTGTCGCGTTCACGGCTGCCATGCCCAGGGCAGGCACGGTCAGTGCCGGCGCTGTGGCTGCCGTGGGTGTCGCTACCGGCGGTGCCGCAGTGAAGTTAGCTGTCCTGCTCACAGCCTCCGCGGCCGTGGCCGCCTGCGCCTCCGCCGCCAACGCGCCCGCCGCGGTGTAGCCGCTTGTCGATGAGTTCCCAATCAGCTGCAGGGCCGCTTGCAGCGCCTCTCGCAACACGGCGAGGTCCACCGTGCCAGGGCCATTGTGGTCCATGTCGGTGGGGATGCCGAGGTAGGGCATGTCGAGCTTGGTGGAGAGCAGCTGGAAATCCCAGGAATGAGGCCTCTGCATGAACTCTATGACGGGCGTGCTGGCGACGCCGCAGATGAGGTTGGAGAAGCCGGCGCCGTGAGGGCCTGCGATCAGGCTGGCCTGTCTAAAGATGCGGCATGTCGTGGGCACGTCTGGGGTCGGATCGTCGGAGAAGATCTCCACCCTCCAGCCCGGCAGTGCGCTTCGCATCGCCTCGACGACCTGGTCATGGTTGGTCACTGAACGTCGGGTGGTCTTTTGGCGGCGGATCAGAAGAGCTACCCTCTCGGCACCCTTGGGATCCCCGGGCTCCCAACCTATGTTCCGCGCTACCAGCTCGCGCATACCTTGTACCGCGAAAGGCTGAGCACCTTTACGCATGTTTGCGCAAGCATTGCTCGGCGGAAAATACACCACCTGGGCCTTCCACCACCCTTCCAGAAGCCGGCTGCCCTCGCCAGCGAGGGTGCCGATGCCCACCAAGCGGGCCCAAGCTTGTCCAGTCTCGTCAACCATACCCGTGTGAAAGAAAGTGCTGTTGTCCTCGAGTACGGACGGGTGCTGCTGGCGTATCCACATGACGCGGGACAAGGAGTCTACGACGAAGTGGTAGTACGCCCTCCACTGCGGCTGCGTCAACACCACGATTGCTTTCAGGGGGGGACCAGGCCTGTGGTGTGCTGGATCGCAGCCCTCGACTTGCTTCCCCCCTTCGTCGCACACGTAGGGCGCCTTGCTGCTCACGCCGCAGTATGGCGTATCGGGTATGCAGCAGCCCTCTGGGAAGCCGCAGCCGTCCCATTCCAGGCAGCCATTGTGGCCGCACCCCACCAGTGCTTTCGTGACGTGCGTGTAGGGCAGCGAAGCGTTGCAGCCAGACTCCTCGCGCCCCTGGCCGGCCTGGCGGCTGGCGTTGGCGGCGTCGCAGTCCTCGAAGACCTGGCCCTTGCAGCTCACCACGGCGTTGTAGAACAAGGTGACCTGCGAGGCCGCGCCCTCCTTCCTCCGCATCACCTCGGCCAGATCCAGCCCGTCGCCGGCGACTCGGTAGCCTGTGGGCGCCGCCGCGCTGGCCAGAGCAGAAACGACGGCCCCGAATGCATAATGGCCGCGCCACATGGCGGCCCGCAGCGTGACCAGCCTGGCACCGGTATGCCCCGATCGCAACTGGATCGGCAGCCCCCGGGTGCTCCCCGGGCGAGCGCCGCCACGCCCACTCGAGCCAGCATGGCTGCGGTCGCGTGGTGCACGCGCGCGACGGCCCTCGTCCTCAGAGGTTCTTCCTGTCTTGTCCCAGCCCTCCTTCTGCTTGGATCTTCGCTCCGAACAGAGCTGTGGCTCCTGCTCTCCTATCCTGTCCTCTCCTCGTCCCCTTCCCTCCTCCTCCTCCTCCTCCTCCTCCTCCTCCTCCTCCTCCTCCTCCTCTCCTCCTCCTCCTCCTCCTCCTCCTCTCTCCTCCTCCTCCTCCTCCTCCTCCTCCTCTCCTCGTCCCCTTCCCCTTCCCTCCTCAGCGCGCAGCACCATTTTGCAAGGGCAGCCCCACCCAGCGAAGCCGCGGAGCGGCCCGATCCTGGGTCTCCCCCGTACAGTCGGGGCGTTGACCTAAGGAACCCTAAATAAGGAACGAGGCCCCTTTTTTCCATAAATTGACCTTCGATTTCCTGTCGGAAACATGAGGAACGCGGAGCCCCTCCCCAACGAAAAGGGTTCCTTCTTCAGGGCCCCGACTGTATGTGTTCGAAGTGCACGTGCAAGTTCGTCTGTCGAAGCGCGTGGGTGCAGGCGTCACATCCTTTCTACTGTGCCGCTGCTTCCTGTCCTTCCTCGCGGCTGTGAAGCCAGGCGGGCGACTTCCCCACATTGCGCGCCCTTGCGAGGTGCGCAGACATGCCAGAACAGGATGAAGCTGGCGTGGGGGGCGTACCTTCCAGGTTGGGCTGGCTGGCGCTCCCCAGTCGTCGGGGCGGTCGGGGCAGCAAGACTTGACGTGGGCGGCTGCCCGCCACAACAGCGCCACGCTAGCCGCCCTGGCCAGGCGGCGACAGCTCTTGCATGATCAGGTGCTCTGTTAGCTGGCGTGTTTGACGCGAACTTCTTCTGGCACTTTCCGGGCGTCGCCACATTTACCACACGATCTGGCTTGGTTCGATCGCAATGGTGGTGGTGGTGGTGGTGGTGGTGATTTTTTCTTCGCCCCACGCGCGGCCACTTCCTGCCGCGACGACGCGGGCCACGGCTTCCGACACCGCGCGGACCGTCCAGCACCGAGCGATCTCGCGCTGGGCGCCCTGCTCCTCCTGCAGGCCCCAGGGCCCGAGACGGCCCCTCCCGAGGGCGTCCAGGCCCCGAAAGCCCGCGCTCGCGTCGCCTCCGCGCCGACGCGGCGGGAACCTGCCGCACAGCCATCGTGCTGCCATAAGGGACGCCGAAGGGGGAACGGAGAGGCTCTCCTGGCCGCGGCGAGCCTCGGCCACGAGCAAGTTCCACGACCCTGACCCGGGTCAGCGCAAACCCGGGGCAGCCAGGGCCACGTCGCGAACTCAGCCTGGCCACGAAGTAGGTTCCAACACACGGGTCAGCGGAAGGCGGGGGGGCGGGGTCGGTTCCAGGTGGCGCCCAGACGCGGGTCAGCCAGAGGACCTCGGAGGGGATTGGCTGACCCCCGTTGCCCCCAGATCTGACACGGCATACACATTGCAACATCCTGAAAACTCGCGGCCGCAGCCGTAGACATCTTCCTGCGCTATATTTTTCGAGCCGGATCGATCTGTGAGAGTCCCGGGGCCCGGAACTGGGCGAAAAGGCCCGTGGCGAAACAATAACTGCAACGCCAGACCTCAGGGGTTGCGTTAGCCGCTTCAGCGTCTGGACTGCGCCCCAGGTTTAGATCGGGCATGTCCTCCTACAGGCGGATTTTGGACGACAAATGAAACATAGTCAATCTGTATATATATATATATATTTGTATGTTTGTGTGTATGTATGTATGTATGTATGTATGTATGTATGCATGTATGTATGTATGTATGTATGCATGCATGCATGTATGTTTGTATGTATGTATGCATGTATGTATTTACGTGCGTACGTACGTACGTATGTATGTATGTATGCATGTATGTATGTTTGTATGTATATAGATATACATATATATATATATGTGTGTGTATATGTACGTATACATATTCGTCCCCAGACTATTCTTTGCCTGTTTCTGATTGTATTCCTTCTGTAGAGGGACATGCCTGACTTAACCCAAGTGCCCACCACCGCCGCCGCCCGCCGCTGCCAGGCGCAGCATGGGCGGCGGCGGCGGGCTTCGGAGGCGGCCCCGGGCGGCGCCGCGGCCGAGCCCGATGGGGGGGGCACTGCTCGGGGACGCACTGACCCGAATCGGCTGGGGACCTTTCGCGAAGCCTGGCCGGTCGCTTAGTGGCTCCCAGACCCTGGTCTTAGGTTGGGCGTGTCCCCCCACAGGCGGATTTGGGACGAGAGCTTTAAGACATACGCCAGAGCAGTGCTCCAGGAATCATCGACACATCGCCCCCAGACACTGCTTCCTATGCTTTTGAGTCTTCCCCCTGCATCGGGACACGCCCGACTTTAAAACAGGGCTAGGATCGGGATAAATCGCTCCAGAGCGCTCTCAGAGCGTTCCGGAACGCTCTGGAGCGGCCGCGGCGCCCAATGCATCCTCCAAACCCGCCAATTCTCAGAGATTTCGAGTTATCCCGATCCGATTTTGTCCCGATCTTCGTGTCGTTTTAGACTTCACCCTGGGCCGCGGAGGGTGGGCAGGGCTCCAGAAAGAATCGACGCATCGCCCCCAGACGCTGCTTTCTATGCTTTTGAGTCTTCCCCCTGCGTCGGGCCACGCCCGACTTCACCCTGGGCCGCGGAGGGCGCGCCTCAGGAGGAGGGTGAGGAGGAGGGGGAGGAGGAGGAGGAGGAGGAGGAGGAGGAGGGGGGAGGGAGGAGGGAGGACTCGAGGACTCGAGAGCAGAGGGCACCGCAGTCGACTCGGCCGCCGCGGCCCCTGTGCCCGCGCACTCTGCGCGGGCTCCCGCCCGTCACCTGCGGGCCTTCTTGTTGGACTCCAGCATCATGCCGTAGGGGAGGCAGTGGCTATGGTTAAGGTTGCCCGTCCACCCACAGCGCCCGAATAATGCAAGCTGCGGAGACGCCCGAAATCGGTTAACGTGCAATGTGAAACTTACCCTGTTGGCGCCCGTGTGTCTGTTCACCCACACAGTTAACAACCTCTGAACGAAACTTCCAATCCGCAAGCATACACACAACGAGGATACTGAAATACCACCAAGGCACGTACTCTTGACGTGTGAATTCAGACAATGGGTACATATTGATAGCAGAAAAGCTGCCAACGAAGCAGAGTGGGGCCACCGAGACAACGCCAGCAAAATGCAAACCACTAAATGCGTACCACCGCCGCCTGCCTTTCTTGCCACATGGGCCTGGGCCAGGCTCAGCCATGTAAAATAATATACCACTGCGCAGAAGCCAAATGTCCCACATGATTGAGGTACAAAGGGCCAGATGGTTGAACAAATGCTGAAGTACAGAGTGATGCCGCTGAGACAACGAACAAATGCCAACCACCAAAGCTGCACAGACGTCTGCCTTACTTGCCGCTCGGGCCTGGGCCAGGCTCTGCCCCCAGCGATGCCGTGCATGATGTGCAGGACCGCAAGAGGAAATATGACTGCCGAAGTGTGCACAACTAAGAGAAAGCCCCGCTCCGCCAGGTGCACCACCACCGCAGCCCCCGTTTGAACCATATGCCGAAACTCACACAAGTTTAAACGGGTAGAAGCCTGTGCTCTTGTGCTGACAGCAGGAACTTTTGCCAAAGCCCCTCAAGTCGCGGGCCGGGATGCTCCAGAAGACTCCTTCATGACTGCTCCCGACGGTACGCGCCCTGCTGCCTCCCGGCTTGAACCAGCAAAACAAATGCCAGCTTGGGCCGAGACACGACTTGAGAGGGAGGAGGGAGGAGGGAGGAGGGAGGAGGAGGAGGGAGGAGGGAGGAGGAGGAGGGAGGGGGAGGAGGGAGGAGGAGGAGGAGGAGGGAGGAGGGAGGAGGGAGGAGGGAGGAGGAGGAGGGAGGAGGGAGGAGGAGGAGGGAGGAGGAGGAGGAGGAGGAGGAGGAGGAGGAGGAGGAGGAGGAGGAGGAGGAGGAGGAGGAGGAGGAGGAGGAGGAGGAGGAGGAGGAGGAGGAGGAGAAGGAGGAGGAGGAGGAGGAGGAGGAGCATGGGCCCCACGTGGCTCCCAGACCCGGGCCAGCCGGAGCGGACTGGCGCGCCGTCGCTGCGCGAGCCCCGAGAGCCGCGGCCGACGGCCTCCCGGCGGGGCAGGCCGGGTGCCCGGGCCACCCCGCGCTCCGCTCGGGCCGCGGGCCACGGCCTCCTCCTCCCTCCTCCTCCTCCTCCTTCTCCTCCGCCTCCTCCTCCTCCTCTTTCTCCTCCTCCTCCTCTTTCTCCTCCTCCTCTTTCTCCTCCTCCTCCTCCTCCTCCTCCTCCTCCTCGCCACTCCGCGTCGGGAAGAGGCCGCGACGGGCAATTTTTGGCCGCTCCCGGTCTCCGGGGTCCCTCGCCGGGCCCCAGGTCGCCGACCTGTGAGAGTGGCCCAAGTCTCGGGTCGGGCATGTCCTCCTGCACGCGGCTCTTGAAGGACAAGTGAAAAACAGTCAGAACAGATCAAGCGTGGTCAAAAAGAAAAGAAAGATCATCCCCAGACTACCGTTTGACTATTCTTTGATATTCCTCCTGTCGAGGGGCAGGCCCGATTTAAGTCTAGGCTGAAGGGACCTTTGGGGCGCGGCTTCAGGGGGCCGCGGGGGGCTGGGCCCGATCCGCGCGTGCGCAAGCCACTGCTGGGAGGACACCTCTGGGCCCGCACCAGAGGTACCTCCAGCGAATTGTCACTCTTACAGTAGGGACCTGACCACAAGAAACCTTCCACAAGAAACCCAACTCTGGGACCCCAGGACGTCCATGGATTTTGGGAGAGGGAGCGTCACGCTTCCCATCGCAAAACCATCGAAACCCAAGAAACCCAGGGCACCCTGGAGGCAAGCAATGTGTTTCTCGGCGTGGGCCCCCGCTGTACTCATGGCCGACCATCACGACCGTCAAAAGATGGCCCAGGACGAAGAGCTGGCCTTGGGGCAAAAAGGCGGGACTTTCGGGAACCTCGAAGGGCAGCAG